TACTCCAGCCTTCTCTGTTTTTACTCCTTCAAATACTTAGCTATGGTCTCTTAATCCAAACTTAAAACCTTCTCTAGTAACACTATCAATATCTTGATGGTCTTGGATAAACCTTCCTTGAACCTCTAACCAAACCTCATTGAAAACTCTGAGTTTCTCTCACATCTTTGAGTACCACCTTTCTCATGAGATTAATCGATTCTTTCAAGTGAGAGCTAGAGAGCATAACTGAACTTCATATGGCACCTTGAGCATTCGGACCCTTCTTAGTTGGATAGTTTGCATAGGTGTGATTGTCTATCTTATTGATCTCCTCCAAAGGTGTTTGTTCCTCTAAAGGTTTTGATCCTAGGACATGTGGGTTATGGGCCCACCATGCTTCCACTGTGCAAACTAGAACATATGATACTTCATCTTGCAAATTCTTCAACTTGGCTACCCCCATTAAGAAAATCAACCAGGGGACATAAAAGGGTAGCTTGCTCCAAAAGGCAGGATAGAGAAAATAGGAGATAACCAAAACCCGACTATTTATTTCATTAATCCTTATACCTTAGGCTTATAAACTAAATGAAATTGTGGGAACACCCAACAAGGTCATTGCAATCATTACAAAGATTTAAGACAAGCATAAGCACCTTGACAATTCAATAAAGCAATAAAGGTGCACAACTCAATCACTGACTCAACTTGCGATATTATCGTCCTCATTGTACTAGGGGTAACAATCCTAAGACTCATCTTCAGATTACACAAGAAGGTGGTGAGGAATAGTTCTAAAAGCATATCAAATCAAGGAGTGAAGATGCGAACAAAGACTTCAAAATAAGCACCAAGGTAGAGATGAATAACAAGGGTAGAGATATAGTAGAGAAGAAAATATCAAGGTTTATAGAGCAAGGGTTTTTGTAGCAACTTCTAAACCTTAGAACAACTAGTTTCTACTAGGCTTGCGTCCTACAGTTAGCATTGCTCTAACACTACTTTGTAGTACCTAGTTTTAAGAACAAAACTAGATACACACCATATATGAGCCTAGGAAGTCAAATCTCACATATAGCTACAAATAAGGGTTATATCAAAAGACAATGCTCAATATATAATGTACTTAGTATAAAGGATATAACCTTAGACAGCAAACAACGGAAAGATAACTCCGATCTTCGGGTGAAGACTCCAATTCCACAGGGACAACAGAATGGTTGATCACAAGCCTAGTTCCTCCAAACTCTAGCAATCTGGTACCCATCTGGGATTTTTATCCAAATAATTGAAAAATAAAGCAAGCATAAGTACATGTCGTACTCAACAAATATAACATGGAGTTCATGAGACTCAAAAGGCTAACACTGGTTTAACTATGATTAGCTTTCAATTGTGACAATTTTAGCATATGAGTAGCAACAAGTTTATCACAAGCCCATATAAACACATGATCAAGTAAACATGAATAATGAATAGCATAAACAATTAACCATTAATGAGCATCTTTATCATCAGTATCATCAGTGTTCATCATCTATTCCGTAAGGGCCCAAGGCCGCTCGTGACCGTGAGCATGGCTGATATACCAGTTTTACACTCTACAGAGGTTGTACACTTTCACTATGAGTCATGATTTACCCTTTCGCCCGAGGCGGCCAACCTCTTGACCCACTACCAAAGAAGGTTGGCAGCGTTCACTATGAAGCCTTTCAAAGGTTCGTCTAACAAGTTAGGGCCGCTAAGGTTTCCCCCATCAATAAGCATGAAACCCCCTCCAAGGAGTGACTAACAAAATACCAAGAAACCAAAGTGCACCCTCTTGGCAGACCAAGATCATACCTGTCGGAGCCCCTCTTGCACCATAAAGATAACCACTAACAAGCTAGAAACGGTCCTCATACTGAGCTAAAGCTAGAGCCATGTAGCCCTCACAGCTGTACTGTAAGTCCCGGAAGTTCATTCACAGATAAGTCCTTAGGGAGAGGAATCTAGAGCACCATAAAATAGCACAATACTCTAGCCCCCTTGTTCCATGTTGCTAAAAGCATCTTTTAATGTTTATTGCATATACCATTAGTCAAGTTATAAGATCATGGCTTTAGTTGAGTACTAGCATCATACTACCCAATGCAATAACCCATAGGAATCAAGGAATCCAGGTTATCAAATAGCCAGGAAAATTACTACGGTTGTCAAGGTAGACACATGCATATGATTAAAATGATATTAAGGTGAATAGGACAACAAGGAAGATCCCATGCTATACTTGCCTTAAACTCAGATCATTTTCTAGTCCAAACCTTCAATGAATTGCTTCTGGATTCACCGCGTATAGCTCACCGACTGGACATGACCATAAAACACCACACAAGCATCCATGCAAACAATAGAAATAAATTAGAACAATATACCAAACATAATAAACAATAGGTAAAAAGGTTTTAAAGATGTTCTACATGTTACTACGAACACACAGACGCGAAAAACACTCTAATCGGAGCTATAACGAAAAAGTTATGAATTAAACAAGATTTCCTTTAATAAAATAATAGATTAAATCTAACCTTGAATTTCAAAAGTTAAAAATATATTTAACAGTAGGATGAACATGTATATTACTCAATTACGAATCTAATGCAACATGAATGTATCAAAACGGAGTTAAAACAAAGATTTTATGGCCTAAATAAGACTAGTGGCAAAACTGTAAATAGATGAAAGCGTATTTTGGATCTAACCGAAGAAACTACGTTTTCAAAAGAAGAAAACATATTTTGAATCTAACAGACGGATTTTATGCTTTCTGAAAGAGAAAACGTATTCTGAATCTACTAGAGAGAAACTATGCTTTCGGAATAGGAAAACGTATTCTAAAAGTGCACCATGGATTGCGGGTTATATTACACGAAACTGCAGGGGCTCTTTTGCAAATAAACCCGGCGAAGGGGTACAAGCGATCTTAGACCATTAGATTGAATTTGGATGGCTCAGATTAGAAAGGAGGGGGAGAGAGAGTGACCGGCCGGAGAAGAAAACCGGCACGGCGGAGCTCCATTACCGATGACGAGAAGCTCCGTGGAGCGCATGGTTTGGGTCCTAGAGGCCACGGTTTGATGAGCCGAGAGAACAGGGAATAAAAGGAGAAGATGGCGAACTCACCTAGGGCCTTCTTGCAGTCGATGGCGGGTCTACGGTGTCGGGCAGCGCGGCGGCGACGACGAGAGAAGGAGAAGAAAAATCTAATTTACTACACGAGGGATTTCCCAAACTAGGGGCTCCCCTTACGGTAGTTTTAGTATGCTTTGCCCAAGGAGTTGGTACATATTTATTGGGAGAAAAACTCTCCACATCTACATCAACTAGCAATGTGGTACTAATTGATGTTGCACCATCCACATTTACTAATGGACCTAAATAATCATTAAAGCCCATTAGTAAATTAATGCATGGGCCTTTGAGATTTATTAGGATTATTGCACATGGGCTTTGAGAGTTGGTTGGAAAATGAGATATATTATTTATTTTAGGAATTAATTAATTTCGTGAGTAAAATAATTCTAGAAAAGTCTAGAATTGATATTTAAGCCACGAAAAGTACTCCGAGACCTCATGAAAAGTTTTTTGGGAACTTGAAACATAAAGATTAAGGTGAAGGAGGTAGGAATTAAATTCCAGTAAGAAGCTGAAAAATTCCTATAGATAGATATTCGTCTCCTAAACGTATTTTAAAAAAACACATTTTGCACATAGAAACATAAGATGCGACCGACATGAATGGAACAAACACATTTCTACCTTAAGATAAATTTTAATCTAATGAAAATTTATTATTTCCCCATGTTTTCATGAGCATAAAAATACAAAATTAAATCATTTTAACTCTATTTCAAGAGAAGCAAATTTTAGGGTGTTACATTTAGTGTTACAATGATTTTGCTGTAACACTTTTTTGCTCTAATAACACTTCATATTATGGTAGAATGCATAGTTTACAACACATTTATTTATGTATCAAAATATTTGCCTAGTGTTATAAAGACGGTTTGCTGTAACACTTTTTTTAGTTCTAGTAGCACTTTTACATTATGGTCGAGCATAGAATGGAATAAAGGAACACGTGGTTTGTAACATTTTTTATATCTATTGTAACATATTTAGATTATGAAACAAATATTTATTTCGCCTATACGTGTGGCCACAGATTATTATATAATCACACAAGCATGACACATTTCAAAATCACATAAACTGGAAATTTCCATAATCATAGCAAGATGCACATATTGTAGGATGATTTCAAACATAGTGCTTGTTCAAATCAAATCATAGTATATGTACATAATGATATGGCTCTATAGAGCAAATACACATAGTCCATGCTAGAAAGAAAAATTCAAGAACTAGCTAAGATTCATAAAGTCTATTGCTTCTTCTTGTACACATTGACGTAGGAATTCAACCATTAATCATTTCAACCTGCAAAGAAAATATAAGTTGTAACATTACAAATTAGGCCACATATGTACATTGATGTAAAGTTAGGAAAGCTAGTTTGAACATACAAACATCGAAGGCCAAGCAATTGGGACTCCTTTGGCTTGAGCATCACCAATATTGTTGCACCTAGGCTTAGGCCTCACTAATGGCTCATCTTTTGCTATAGCATGAATGATATGCACTTTATAGAATTGACTTCATGTCTTAACTGTACTAACAATGGCTTTTGGATCAGTGCTCAGGAGAGTTGCATAGGCCACATTAGCTTTATTTTAGGATATTTTGAAGTCATTAGTAGCACCGTGAGCCCAACCTACATTAATTTGACATAATCTCTCTTAGTTACCAACAACCCTTAGTTGTACATCATGATCATGCAATTAGAACAAGTGATATTATGTTCATCTACCTTCATTAGTGAGATTTTCCAATTGAACCTACAAGCAAGAAATCTGCACATTAGAAAAAGAAAAAAAATATTTGCAAAAATTCTCATGTGCATGTAGCATACCAGTGGTTTATTTATCCCTTTTCCCTTTTCCTATGAGTTGCGAGGTAAACCTTTGCAATGTGCGGCTATTTTTTTCAGGATCAGCTCGTCTCTGGAAAAGTAAACAAAAAGTAAGAAGAATCATGTATAAATTTTTTAAACAGAAGATGACTCACCATGTCCTCATACCAACGAGCACAACTCTTTGTACCCGTTGTATGTGTTGTCTTCTTCATTTCACGACTTATTTTGTTCTTCTCACTAAGGGTCTACAAGAAAAGTAAATTAATAAATAATGAACTATATACATATAGAAATCAATAATGGTAAATATAGCGATAGTAAAAAAAGCCAAATAGCGTCAATAATGGTGCCTTACTTGTCCTTCGCTGGACTTCCAATATTTTACTAGGGCCTTCCATTCATTTTCATCAATATTATCTAGACAACGCCGGTTCAAAATAGATTTTTTCTTCTTTGGATTAAATAGTGTCTTTTTTTAATGTTGCCTTGTATTTTCTCCAATCTCTTCCAATTGATTTCAATATCCATTTCTCGTATGAACGAGGATATAAGAACTTTGTCTAAAAGAAGAAAGTCACTAATGAATGAATTTGACTTCATGACATGATAACAAGCATATATATATACTTAATCTTATAAAAACATTATGTCTTGTAAAATTTAGCTAACTTGGATGAATTGAATTATGGTTTCTGCATTGTTTTTCTTAACTTCTCTCCAATCTTTGGCACCAACAGGACAGTAACCACCATTTCTTGCTATGGTGCCCAAAAATTGCTGTAAAATGCCGCCTTCTTTTCCAATGGGTTGTCCAAGCATCTTACATCTTACTACTATCCGATCTCCTTCAAGTAGATCCCAAACAAGTCTTAAAACGACCCCCTTTCGCTTATTAGGTACTTCATCGCCATCGCCTATTAAAAACAGAATGATAGTGATAGTAACCGGTTAATCATATAGTGCAGTCCATATGAATGAGATTGATCTAACTACATTTGTACCTGATGTGTTCTGGTTCTCATCATTGTGCTACTCAACCTCGTTATCATATAGTGCTTCATCACGCATTACATTTAATCCTTTCTTTTTCTTTGTGCCCCCTAAACAAATGTTGGGGACATGATCACGTGTTTATAGTAAATATAATAAAAAATATGTAATCTTTTTATTAACCAACTAGATATTTGTATTAGGCCACCAAGATTGTATTTATTAAGTCACATACCACGGTGGGGTTGGATATGCTAATCTTGGATGAAAATAAATCATGGATAACTAACATGACTTGGAATAGTTGTCCTTGAATAATCAAATATACATAGAAAAGTAAATTATATGTTCATTCTAATACCTTTATTTTTTTGGTTTAGATTTGGATGGTTTTTTGTTGGACTTGGTAGGCGCTAAAGTGGCCAATCTCTGCCTCTTCACAAACAAATTAACCATCTTTTCGCTCTCACACTCGTTGAGCATTTCCATCACTTCACAATCTTGTTCTATTACAACCAAGCTATCTTTTCTCTTGTAGTATAGACAGTCGACTGATGTGTACCCATAAACCTCTATCAGGTCAGTCAAGTTGAAAAAGCATATCTCTTCTCTATCCATTTCCCTTTGCACATGTTTATGTCCTTTAGGTTTCCCACCGCATTCCAGATTTATGGTCCAATTATCCACCTCCATGGTAACACAATCTGAGTAAAATTTAGCACCAATAGGAAAATAAGAATAAAGCATAGGATAATTCATAAATAAGAATCAAGTTTAACTGAATAGTAACAATTAGACTAAAGTGCATATTTGTAATGTTATTTGAACTCGGAGCTTGAGAACAAGTAAAGTGCTATGGTTCAGATATGATGATCTAGAGCATGACATATTAACTTTATATATAGTAGTGTCCAGTTAGCTTGAATAAAAAAAATAGGCTGGCATACCATGACACTAGTGAAACAATCGAGCAGTAAGTATTTCCTTTGCCTGTGAGAGCTAATGAAAGCTGCTACATAAGTTGCCGACGCACTGCTACCTGCTTACATAATTGTCAAAGTGCAGCGGCTGAGCTCCTCCTACTATGATTGTTTTGTAGAAGTGCTTAGTTTTCAATGCAAGAACACGAATTGCACTAAGCCATCTCAAAAACTGCAAAACAAATTGTTAATCAAATATTTGCTTATACGACATGTCAATTGAGTTTTTCACACATGATGACGACTACTAGTCGCAAGAATACAAAAAAAACTTCAGTGAATCGCTGTGATGAACTAATGATTAGTTGACAATACCCAATTCAATTTGCAACATAGAAGGGGTATTGGAACATATAGGACCGAACATAGAAGGTGTACTGGAACATATAGGACCGAACATAGAAGGTGATAAGTTCTCAAAAGTTAAGGAATGAAAAAGGGATAGGCCAACAAACACTCAAAGAAAAAGGTGAAATCAAGATGGCTTGAGGACAAACTACAAAGAATAGGCCAGAAGTTTTATTTTCCTTCATGGAACCATGAAATGGGACCCCATTGAAAAGGCTGTTAAATCCAGCATCCTATCTTCGCAGCAGAATTGCCAGTCCCAAATTCTAGCTCCTATATATAATATAAACTAGGGAGAAAGAACTCATTCTGAAAAAGGAAGCTATCAGTACATGTTTATAACAGAAAGGAAGCAATTCGGGGGTTAGTGCCCTAGTGAAATTAAAACAGCTTCTAGTGCCCTGAAATCCTGTTGTATCAGTGATACATTATCAGGAACTCTACTTAAGCACATCAAATATGATTTCAGAATCCTTTCTCAGGTTCAACTGAGTTCATACTGTATGAATGAGCACAAATTAAAACAGCTACTTATACAAGGAGGGAGGCAAAACCCTCTTCACGGTATAAAACAAGATACTACCAAAAGAATGCAACACCACTGATGCAGTTTCACAGTTAGACAGTGCAGTAATTGGTTGTTTTAGTTTGCATAGATTAGCCATCTCTAACCTGCAAAACAAATCGCTGTGGCTTGCTCGTGGATAGGGGAAGGAGCAAGCGGGTGGAGGACGAGACGACAAGGCTGGCAAGTAGCGACATAAGAGGGAGAGCCCGTACCGAGCGTACCAACAGATCAATGGGCTCAGAGGCCGGAGGAGGGGGCGGTGGCCCATATAGGATCCTTCATGACGGGCGCTGTTCAGGGGCGGCGGCCGGTGGATGGCGGCGGCCTATGGCACGGCGCCCTGATTGCGAGTAACGGAATGAGAGAGAGAGAGGGCTAGGGTTGGGCATCCCTGGGCACTTGGGCGGGTGACAGGGTTTGTTCACGTACCTGCAACTTGGCCGGGGAATGATGGTGACCGGGAGGAGGCCGCGGATGCCGCCGCCATCGATGGACCTTGCCTCCGATGGTGAAGATAATGCTGTGGCAGGAGATGAACCTGAGGGAAGGGAGCCGCCGCCGTGCTGACCTAGGAGCTTCGGTCAGTTGAAGGGAATGAGGATTGAGGAGAGCCTTTGAGGTTTTTCCGCTAGATTAGATTATTGAATATGACCGAGTCACCGAGAGTGGCAACTGTACGGAGCGGCAAATGGATTCCTGGCGGGGGAAATTTGGTGGGAAATAATTTCAGTCAATTTTTTAAGGAGGGAAACTAATGTTCCACGCCTCTTGATTCTGGATTTCTGGTGCTTATATCTATATATATATATATATATATATATATATATATATATATCTCAAAAAATATACTAATACATTTCGCTATCTAAAAGAAAATTTGATGGACATCCGATACGGTCCTTATATCTAAAAAAATATACTACTAGATTTTGCTATCTAAAAGTTACTTTATGAGTAATGATTATGTATATTAGTTTTGTGATAATATTAATAATATGTACCAAATTAGTCTATTTTAAAGTAATGACTTATATTAATTTTAATATTAACATTAACACATAAATGAAATTTGTTCTTGGATAGATTATTTCAAATGAAAAGGTTGTCAATTATAAAGTTGCATAACTTTTCGAGATGTACAACTTTTGTTTTGGTCGTTTCTTCGTCTAAGGTCGTATGAAAATTTTGAATTTCAAATGTGAGAATTCAGACTTCATTTTTGCTCAAAAGATGATTTCAAAAGAAAAAATTGTCAGCTACAAAGTTCCATGACTTTTGGAGATCTAGAACTTTTATTTTGGTTGCTTCTCCATCCGAGATTCTTAACTACCACTACACACTCACTTAGATATTGTTATATTATTATATGGTAATTCCACCAAATAATTGAAATAATATCTAAATTTGGTCACAAAATTCTACAAAATGACACATCAGCATGCTTTGGGTCCATAAAAAATTCATAAAATTTTCAAACAATTTTAAGAAAGTGGGAGTATACATTGTTTAGAAATGGATAGATCTCTCATCACTTAGTCTTACAACTATGTGAGAGATGTATCCATTTGTGAACATATGTACTACCACTTTCTTCAAATGGTCTGAAACTTCTATGGAATGATTATACACCAAAAACATGTCATTGTGCTGAGTTTTGAGAATCTTCTAACAAAACTTAGATACTATTACAATTATTTTATGGTAATTCCACCAAATAATCGCAATAAAATCTAAAATTTGGCATCATAAATCATTTTAAACGAAAATGTTGTCAACTACAAAGCTGTAAGTCTCATCATGTTAAACAACTTTTGTTATGAACATTTGTCCATCCGAGTTAGTTTGGATAGTTTAAAAATTTTGAATTTCAAAAGACCAGAACTTGAAATAGAATTTTCGCACTGTAAATGATTTTAGAAGGAATGGTTCTCAACTACAAAGTTGTAGAACTAATCCAGATCTAAAACTTTTGTTTTGGCCATTTCTCTATCCGAGTATGTTTGAATAATCCAAAATTTTGAATTTCAAAATATGAGCACCGCCTCCGAAAGGAAAAATAGAAACATAGCTTTCAAAAGTTTCAACAACATGTTGTTATCTTAGTGGTCTAATCACCGCTTCTTAACCATGAAAAAGGTTGTGGCTTCAAATCACGGCCTTTGCAGGTTTTTTTTTAATCCGTTTTCCTTTTTCCGAATTTTTGGAGCTCGGTTTCCATCTCCAGAATTAAAATTTTGGATATAAAACAATAGCTGCACACATGAAGCAGTAGAGCACTCCATACCCTAGTGGTACAAAATTGTTTTTTTATACCAGGTCGCAAGATCGATTCCCCTTCGCGGCGTCTTTTTGGTTTTATATATTATAAAAATCCAATTTTTGTTGTCCAGAGATATAGTTTTGTATAAAAAAAATATTAACTGCACCACCAGTCTCCTTCACATTTGTGGCTTGGTGGTAGTGTCTTGTCGTACAAAACCATGAGACTGAGACCGAGCGCTCTTTGCAGCATCTTTTTGTTTTTGCTATGTTTTTATTACCTGCATGCCTTTATTGAAAAAGATTTTATAATTGAATTTTATATTCAATTACTATTGCTAATACTTAGGTAGTCCAGTAGTTTGGTCACCACAATACAGACGTTGAGGTCTATTGTTCAAGACCTGCGCCTCACTATTTTTTTTTCTTTTTTTAAAACAAAATTCAGGTTTTAACTCAGGCTTTTTGTAGCATGTGGGTGAGGGGGGGAATTTGAGAGCAGATTTCGGCCCAATAAGGACATGGATGGGGTTGAAATTAATGCAAAAAAGAGATGAATATATTAATTTAAGACATTTTTTAAAACTACCAAATTGAAACTACACTATAAAATAAATTATTACACATCACTACACAATTATTGTCGATTAGTGAGTTATGCTACATTCATAAATGATTTTTAACTTATGATGATCAGATCGTCATTATTATTGTCACGAAGGCCACACAAAGCATGTGGTGATGACCGTTGGTGACAAAAGCAAAACTTAGACACAAACACTTGTTATCCATTGAAAAAATATCATAAACACACCATTTCTATGACTATAAAGTGCTCTGTCATATAAAAATTGTCATAGAAGGTCCTATTTCTTATAGTGTGTGTTGTAAATTTGACTAGTATTATTGTGGACCAAAAATATAAAATTCTTGATCAACCTACATAGTGGTAGGTTAGTGGGTTCGCGCAACGTCAAAAATATCAATATTACTCACATTTATTTTCACATTTTTGTTTTTTGTTTTTCAGTTTTTTCCTTCGGTGTTGTACTTGTTCTTCTTGTGATTTGGCATTTAGAGTGTCTTGATCTCGGCCTAATAAATTGACAACAGGCTCCGGTATCGAACTAACCTTTTTAATGGCCTATTCATTGCAACTTGGTTCTCATGTGATGACCGCGATGTGATTGGCTAACGACGTTGACGACCCCTAGGTGCGATGTCTGTATCGCCTATGAATAGGAAGGTCCACCTATATATGTTTTTTTAACACTTGGACTATAATATTATTTTATGTTACTACGGGGCATATATTTGTAACATATTTTATATGTTCCATTTATGTGTTACAACATAGTCACTTTTGTAACATTTTACTTGTAACATTAGTTTTGTGTTACTATAATTATTGTTAGTAACACATTTTTATGAAAAAAGTGTTTTGTGTTACAACCGAAGTCTGTAACACACTATTTTGTGTTATTATGAAATTTTACTAGAACACATTGATGAATATGTTACAAGAAAGTGATACAATATCCTTATTTTGTAGTAGTGTAAGGTTGGCCTATTTAAGCCGGGGCTGGATCCGTTTCTTGGCAATCCACACACTCCTTCCTTCATAGATACAGATACATACAGACAAAGCTCTTGAGCAAACCATCTATATTTTCTTCATCGCCATGGCACTCCTTCTCCAACTCCTCCAGCGGCAGCAGCGGCATTGAGAGAAGGCCTTCAAGATTGGGTACTACCGGCATCTAGGCGCAGCGGGGGCTACTTGATCTAAGTGCTAGTGGAAGTATTGCGATTAAGGGGTTCGCTTATTTGGGCAAACCAAGGGGTACTCAATGCACTTTGGTATCCTTGGTTTGCCCTACGTATTTCTTGTACTACCGATTCACCATCCCGACGCCCTAGTGATCCTTCTTCCTCTGGAGCAGCAGTGATGACGGTGGCGCTTCTCTTCCATGCCTCCTCTTCTTGCCTCTCTCTCGACCGTGAGAGGTAAATGCCTCTATCTCCCACACGCTCGCGACCATGAGTGGTGCAGTAGGGAAGGTAAAGTAGCTCACTGAGATGCTCCTCTTCTTGCCTCTATCTCTCTCGCGCTCGTGACCATGAGAGGTGCAGCAGCAGGAAAGGTAAAGCACATCACTGAGATGCTGGTGGAAGTTGTAACAGAACCGACCAATTATACGAAATTAAGTAAGAAAATCATCCGCCAGAGCAGACGATTTAGCAAACTTAAGCCCGTATAACCTGGTAGTCCGTGAAATCGCGAAGGATTTCAAACCAACTTCCATTCCAGCCAAGATCGTAATAAGTTTAGCGGTCACCATCACATATTACATAAAAGTTCGCAATCTCAAATACATCAGAGTTTAAACATAGTTATTACAAACCAGTTTGAAGAAAAGTAGCGAAAGCCATTTGTTCAAACCACACACACTCACGCGGAGTTTAAATATAGTGCCAGCGAATGATCATCTCCAACAAAAGCATCAGACGAGACGTAAGGAATGACCCTACCCATGGTCCTAAGCATCACCCATCGCAGGATAAAGGCAGTTGATACAATAGCCGTAATACATCTGCCCATCTACAACAAGTGGGAATAAAACCCTGAGTACGAGAAGGTACTCAGCTAGACTTACCCGACATAACCGAAAATAAATGACACCAAGGATTATGAAGGCTTTATAGTAGGGTAGCTAACTCATTTGCAAAAGAAGCATTTTTAGCATTTCCATAACTTTTCTAAAAGCGTTATTGCCAACTTAATTATTATTAACTTATCGACTAGATTTGCATCTATACTAGAGTAAACATGTGATTAAGCAATTAATGATAACCACTGATCATTAAACAACTTCCATACTGTCATATTCACTATAATTGTCCAAGTGTTCCATAAACATTTACTACGATGAAGTAACTCAAGTCAAGTGCTCACTATCCAGAGCGATGGCGATTCGAATCGATTCCCTAACCGGTGGTGATTTATTCCTTACACAAATCTCACTCACCCGCTAAAGTGAGATATTGATCACCGAGTCAACTTTCGGTATCTCGAGTTTGCCAGAACCACATGTACCCGGGGCCGACCGATCGCACTTTGGTCTTATCATCCCACCCCGTGTCCTACCACACCGCCGCACAAGGTCATGCGCTGCGGGCAATCTACTCGGCCCGAAAAATCTCCCTAGCTTCGCGGTCGAAAGGTAC